CCAAAACCTGATCATTTCGGTCGACCGGAAGGTACTCGACCGAAATTTGAATTTTGATTGCTGAAACTCCAACGGTTGAAAAATCTTACAACGGCTATTTTTGGGAGTTCGGTCGACCGAACCCTATCAACCGAAAGTCCCTGCACTTCACAATTTTGCTCTATATACATCTCTCTTTTCCATTCTAAAAACACAACTTTCAAGAAATTTTTGAGAGCCTTTATATTGAGAAATCATTGAATTTACTTGAGCTTTTATCTAATTTATTTATTCAAAGAATATTTTTGTTTGTTTGAAAACTTATTATTCATCTATTTAATCAAAGATTCTACTTGAGCAAAGAAGCTTTCGTCTCTTCTATTATCTCATTCTTGACTAAAGTCTATTTCTTTGCCAACACTTACTTAAGTGCAAATCTCTCTCTATACTTAACTTTGCATTATTTGTGAAGAGAGATTTATTGGTTGAAATCTTTGGTACATTGATCCTCACTATTGCATTAGTTATCATTCATCAAAGTTTTGCAACATAAAACACTTGAGTTTAAACATTTGCTATTGATTGAAGTGTTATCCTAAATTCTCTAAACACTTGACTTGATTATATCATTTGTCAAGAGAGTTCTTTCAATTGTAAAATTATCATTTATACTTTGGTAGTTTCGAGAGCCTTGTGAAAACTCCATTGTTGTTAAGGATATGTGTTCCTTGTTATAAATCACCTAAGGATAAGTGCTCCTTGTTGTAAGTCACTTAAGGATCGGTACTCCTTGTTCGTAAGTTATCATTATAGTGCATTTGGCCTTGCTCGTGACGGAGAGCTTGGTAATGGGGGACGTAGATCATTGCCTTGGATCGAACCTCCATAACATATCGTTTGCTTTCTCTATCTCTTTTATTTAATGCATTTACTTTACACTAATTCTTATTGTTTTATTTACACGTTTATTTGTGTCATTAGAATCTTGAGTAATTAACTAAAAAGTTTCAATAACCAATTCACCCCCCTCTTGGATAGTTATTCTTGGGCTAACACTTACATTGCCTCTTTTCATTGTGATATGACTTGCTCATTCCATCCGATCGAAACTCAACCATGTAGATTCTACCTCCTCACCTGGCTTAATAACAAATTCAATTGTTTGACAATCGTTGAAATCGAAAGAATATACATTAATAACATCTTAATTAATTTCCATTGCTTCGTTTGATTCTTTTGTAATTACTTTTTCATCTGTTTTGTACTCTTCTTCAATACTTAATATCCTTTCGGGTTGAATGGTTGATTCATAATTTAAATTCACAAGCAATGGTAAGTCTTTCCTTTCAACCTTTTCAAGGATATTATATCCTCACCATTTAAATTCGTTACTGTATATGGCATCTCCCAGAAACATTTTGTTTTCATCCAACTTGACAAGTTTATTAAAATATTTTGAAAGTACCTTCTCATTCAATAGGAAATTATCATTCCCAGAAGAATGATATCCTCATCCCAATCCGCAAGTACATATTCTCCTGCGAGCATGTAGCCTTCATCAAAATTGTCAATTGATTAGTTTTGATATCTTAAATATTGTTTAAACCTTAGAAGTTTTTGCCGTAAGGAAATGTATATAAGCATCACTCATTATAATGCATCACATAACAAAGCTCACAATCGATATTTCCTAGATGCACATCTTTATCTTACATGTCAGGATTAATTACAACTACACCTCGAAAATAATCAATTAGTCGCATATAAGAAAAAATGAAAATTTGTCAATGACTATTATGCTTACAGATTAGAGACAACAACAATTTTAACCGAATTCTTTAGGAAGAACGTTACTAATGAATTGGTCAAAACATTGTTATATGGAGAATTTCGTCAGGGACACACAAAATATGGTATGGATTCAAACAAAGCAAGGACATGTCATTGGGAGAATAGTCGCATCTCATGTAATTGAGGGTAAGAGGTACTATTTATGATTCTTATCAAGACCTATTAGAGGATGTTAATCCCATAACTTAAATATACTGCAAGTGTACTGCGTCAAGTTTTGTAAAATAAAGATCAAGTACAGATGTCTAACCCATATGGATTGAAGTTCAATTTATACTAATTACTATAATTATGTAACCATTATTTTTTCTAGATGATCGAATTTCAGAATCAATGTTATTAACTAAATCTAATGATGAATGTGATGACGAATCCAACGATTTGAATGCAAGTTTGAAGACTTAATCAATATTAGAAAGCCCAGAGTTCTGATTTCACCTAACTATCAACAACGATTTTTAATTTTCTAGTTATCTCTAATCAATTTTCTCAAGTTTATAAGTAAGAACCCTAATGTAATTCTAGTCACTCTCTTGAGTGCTGAGTGAAAACTATTTCTAAAATCCAATTCCAATATCTCCATTCCAAATCAAATAACTAAGAATTATCAAGTTCGTGGTTCTTATGCGGAATGTGCTTCAAAGGAAGTATACTCTCTCAAAATCTATAATTCCCAAGTTTGTGTTATTCTAAGATCACGCTTAAGTTTTCCTCTCTCGAGTGCTAAAACTTAAACAATCAATTCATTCAATTAGTGATCAAGTAATTGAAAATATTAAAATTAATAACACAAATAAATGGAATAGGAAAATATTAAAGAAAAACTATGTAATTATCAAACATAATCTTAAGTTGGTTACATCAAATCCTAGCTATGGAGTTTAGTTCATGACGGAAAACTAATAAAATCATATAAAACAACGTAGAGAAGAGAATAGAAAAGACTATTTTTTAGTTCTTCAATCTTCTTTGCGATGTTGTTCTTACTTTCTTCCTTGATTTCTTGCTTCTTGCCAGTTGAATTTTCATGAAACGTGGCCTCTAAATTGGTATTTATATTATCTTGATGTCCAAGGAGATGTTGGAGTCGAATTGTGCCTTAAAAGAATCCCTAAGATTCAAAACTTCTTTCTGCAGCCGCCGGCGCCTAGACACTGCTTCCACAGCGCCTAGACACTGCTTCCACAGCGCCGAAGCTGCGACAATCTGGTGAGTGGCGCTGGGGCACCATTTTTCATTGACTTTTTTCCTTATGCATGGTACCTAGACGCTCTGGTTATGGCATAGGGGTCCCATTTTGCTGCAATTATCTAATCAATAATGGCGTCAGGGCGCCAATGCCCTGCAATTATTTTCTCCTAGGTGCCGGCTTGTGGTGCTGGGACACCATGTTGCTGAAATATTTCTTTTGCTTTCTTTCAGTTTAGCCACTTTCTTCACCTTTCTCACATAGTTTTGACCATAACTCTTTTCTCTACATTTTTTTGCACCATTTGTACCACTTCACCTACCCTGTAAAACAACATTAAAACGTCCTAAAAACTCTCAAATACAAACAAAATAAGAAGCTTAAGATACATTAAAACAATGAGTGAAACACACTCATGAGAGGAGCAACCTCATTTGAGAATTTGAAAGTAGTAAATGGGGTTTCTATGTCTTTGTTCCATAAGTTGCTCACGTGATTTATTAATCGTTATCTTCTCGATGTTGGATGCACCCTGTTATTAAAGTCATCCATGCCCTCTCCATTCTGGTGTGAAGCTCTTTCCATTACGATGTACCGCATTAACCAATTTCGTTTTCCCTTATTGAACCACATCTCCATTTACTGGTATATTTGGTCATCCTCGAAAATATTCTAACATTTGTACATTTGGTTGTGCATGTTGTTCTTGCACATGAACGCGCATAACTCACATCTCAATCAATCCAATGTGCTTTCCTAGGATATTTTGAACACCAAAGAGGTTATCTTTGCCATGATCTAAATCTGCATTGTATTCAAGTTTATAGAAATGTAATATTTCTAGAAAACAAGAATATTTTTTTCAGTACACATTGAGATCCACCTTCCTTTTCATTTTGTGTTCTGCCCTTGTTTACTAACCCTCCTCCAGATTTGTTAAATCCTAAGCATCTCCTAGAGACGATCCTGCTCCATATCAAATCAATTTCTTGCAACTTCGGAGCCTCTTCCAGCTTAGTCTCCCACTTCTGATCATGTTCTAGTAACTATTCTGCTCATCATATTTCTATACAATGATCTCAAGGAGAAACCTTACACGAAACGTCCCTCTGGTATGCCTACTTCCCATGTTCTTTATATGGTTTGAAATGGGCACCCAATGTGTAACACCCCGGACATTTTAGAATAAAATGTTGTATTCAATTTTATGATTTTGAAAGTTGAGGGACTAAATATTTAACTTTTTATAGATTGACCAAAAGTATATCTACATTGGACTCATTTTGTAGCTGGCATTAAATAACTTAAATTGGGCTCAAGAAAATGTAAGTTCAGATGAGTAAAGCCTAAGATATTTCAATTCAAAGAAGCACGGTTTATATGTATTATTTTATTTTGTTTTATGAAATTATACATTTTAAGACAATTAGTAAAAGAAGATGAGGATGGGTAATCTCACGTGTAAAAAGAATGGAGGTAAGATTTTTAATATTTTATTTAAAGTCAAAGTTGTTTTGGGATTGGAATCTTTTTGTTGTGATGGACACGTGTCACATTGTAATTCAAATTTTTATCAAGTTAGATAAGCATGATTTTTACTCAACTACTGTTATTCCCCTATAAACAGTGTGCCCATATCACTACACCAAAAAGGGCCTTTTGCAGCGGCCAAAAAACTCTGCAAAAGGCCTTTTGTAACGTTTTATCATATGTTGCAAAGTGCAGTTTTGTCAAAGAGGGAAGGGATACGGCAACATTTAAAAAACGTTGCGAAAGAGTCTACGGCAACGTTTTTTCAACGTTGCCGTAGACCATTTTTTTTTTACAGTTATGGTAATTGATCCAGAAAATTAAAAATAACACTTTGTGAACACATTTTGGAATTGTATAAAAATTGATAATTTCATTATAAATTTTTGAATCAATACAAAATTCGAATGTGATACAACACAACCTATCATTATAAATTTTTGAATCAATACTAACGGAAGAAAGGCGAAACGGCAAATTTCATCATCCCAGTTTTGCAATGAAAGCCGTTGCGTTCACCACAAGCAAAATAATAAGGCTGCCATCTCTTAAGCACAAACTCAAAACCTTCTCCTCCTCCTTGTGTCTCTTGTGCAATCTTCTTTGCTCTTCTCAAATCACAGTTTTGGAAACTCCAGAAATTCGGCAGTAGATATACACTGTGAGGAAATGTGGTGTCGTTTGGGGGATCAAACTTGAATACTACATGCAAGCAACAAATAAATATTAGTTTCTTAGATATTGGAAACAATAAGCAAACATATAGAGTTTTTAAATTTAAGAAATAATAGAATGGGAAGCCTAATTAAGAAAACAAGAGAGCTTTTAAATTTAAAAACTTAACCCGTAACTAGGATAAATAAGGTGGATGCTAGTTGACATTAATTAGCAAACTGTTGGATTCAGCTTAAAATTTTAACTTATGAGAAAGTTTAAGCATATATCTAGTGATAAGTTGCTTGTTTCTTTGATTGCGCTTGATGTTCCTTTTTCCATTTTCATCCTAGTTTGACCTATCTTGAAAAATTGTCAGCTTATTTTCATCCTACTCATTTCGACCAGAAGATACTTATTTCCAGCTTCGATCAACAAAATAATTCTTTATTTACTTACAAGTAAACATACAAGTAAATTTTTTAAGAGTTGTTGGAACTCACCAATCCCAGCTAGCAAAGCGAAGAACAACTTCACCACCACACTATAGCCCATATAGAGTTTTCTCCTCTTTGCCTGCCATTCAGAATACCAACCCAACCATCATAATTAAACCAGAAACATTATAAAGAAAATAATAAATGACTATTAAACAACAGGGTTAAAAGCCTTTCCAAAAATGGAAACCTGAAGAAGGATCAGACTAGTTCAGTGCCACCTAGCATTAAAGAATCTTCAACAGCACCATCATTGCCTGTTTCTGCTGATACAGATGATGTTCATGAGCAACTCCAAGAATCTAAAGTAGACAAGTAGTGGATACAAGTAGAAGGGCTGTAGAGAAGGAAAATCCGTCTTCTGCTATATTTACTGATGATGACAAACAACACTATTGTTTCTTCGACTTTTACCTATAATGACCGCAAGGAAAATGGGATTACTGCTGGTGGTTTGGACAGGGAAGGGCCTGATGTGAAAAATACTATCAGGGGTTCTACTTGTAAGAGAAAAATTTAAAGTAATTGGTATAGGACATGTAAATATAACGTAGCTTTGACGTGTATTTATAGGAGATTTCTGAAATTTTTAAAACAAGAGAAGGGATCTCTGAAATTAACATAAACCCCATAAAGGTTTCTAAAGCATACCCAATTAATTTCTACCCTGAAAATTTTCTTTATTGCATATCGAACACGTGCTTTATACATTGTGACCATATCTATCACAAATCTCTCCTGAAGGGTTTAAAAAAGATCTGCTTTACAATGCCTAAATAAATGATAAGCCTATGCTAGGCTACCAAAACTTCCAACTTAATGCCAAGAAAATCTGCAAATCCAACAGCAAAAGATAAAATGAATCCATAAGCAAACAAGATTGCTAGAGCAGAGATTGGTGGAACAAGCAAGGTATCAATAGACAAATTCACCAGTCCTGTGAGGATGTTGGCCTGCAGATAGAGTAAGACTCTTGAGTGAACCAGAACAAGATATCGACGGTCAATGAGATTAAGGAAACTTTGTCTCACCAGAAGAAAAGATCCGAGTAAATTTCGATTAAATGCTTCTTCCATAGCTGAAACTTTACCTCCAGGCACATAATCGGATAGCATCAGAATGGCTAGCAACTGAAAATCAAATTTATATAATTGCAAAACTAAACAAGTATGGATGAGCATTGAAGATGCCAAATTAAGATGAAAATTTTTAGATTACACCCATATAAAGGGAAACTGGAGCCCCGCCTTGCTGCTCCTTGGTTGGGCTTTCTTCGCTGACCCAGATCCGAGTGTCTTGCCCCTGCCCGCCATTCGTATTGCAAAACAAGCGAATAATGAAAACCCATTAAACCACCAGAAATCAAATGCACCAACGTGTTCTCACAGCAAAGAACACAATAAACACTCTAAGGGTTATTATCAAACACATAGTGAAGAAAACAGGAAGAAATAGCAATAGAAAATAAGGAAATATACTGACTGTAGCACTCGAGTGTGGGCGTCCAATGACCAGCAACCGGAAAAAGAAGATCGCCGTTGAGAGAAACTGACAGGAGACGGCGGGAGTGAAGAAGAGAAGACGAGAGAACGGGCGTGAAGTCTATCTAGGTTTTCCTATTTTTTGTTGGGTCTCCCAATTTGAGTGATAATTGTCATTTGGAAAAATGGAAACTCTTTGGCAACGTTTATTAGACGTTGCGAAAAACAAACTTTTTGCAACGTTTAATAAACGTTGCAAAAAGTTATTTTTGCAACGTTTATTAAACGCTGCAAAAGGCTATATTATACGAGTTTCAGCAACGTTGAATAAACGTTACAAAAAATAGAAATTTTCGTAACATTCAATAAACGTTGCGAAAGGCGACATTTGCAACATCCATTTAAAAAATGTTGCCAAAGCTCAATGATGTCAACAAACGGCAACATTCGCTTATTCAAATGTTGCGGCAGACCCATTTAGCAACATTTAACAATCGAATGTTGCCTTTTATATGTTGCAAATGCCCTTTTTTGGTGTAGTGTATCTCACAATTCACCACACAGAATTTTACACAATAGTTTTCATATAGAAAGCAGCTGTAAATTCTAAGTATATTTTTTATATCAAAAGCTCGTTTCATCAATCGAGGTAAGATACTTTTTGTGCAAGTTATTTGTTTCCTTATGCTTTTTATGTTCAGTAATTTATGCATGAATTGCCAATGGACCTTCGGGTTCGACCTAATGAGAAATGAGAAGACATGGGTATCTCGCTTGGTCATCGATATACTCCATAAATGAGAAATGAGAAATGTGGTATGAATTGTCTATGTTATTGTTATGTAATTGCATATGGGAACTACACGTATCTTACTGGGTGTTTTCAAAATACTCACTCTTACAATTTTTACAGGCTAGTTCGGGTCGATTGGAGATGTGGCGGGATGGTGATGCGAACTGCCAAAGGATTTCACCATACGAGAATATTAAGTTTACTGTTTTCCTTTTAAAATTTATTAGTTTGTTTTGTCCAATACCAGTAATTGATAATGCTAAAATTATTTTTAAAGACACGATTTATGATTCGAATTTAAATTTATGAATGTTTTGTTTATTTAGAATTTTAACGTTCCGTATTTTAAGTAAATGAAATTATGTTTGGTAACACCTCAAGATGTATGAAATTTTGGGGCGTTACATAATGCATGTTTTGAAATTTTATGAACCACGTTTCTTGACTTTTCATTCAGTAAAAGTCAGTCAAACTCATCTCTTTTCGTATAGAATCTCTAACGTAATAGTTCTCCTCCTTGTTTATGTAGACAACATCAATTTTACTGGTTCAGATATGGTGGCCATCTCTACGATTCAAAAATTATTGCATTTTAGTTTCCATATAAAATATCTTGGCCAATTCACATACTTTTTGGGGGTAAGAGGTTCTTCGTGGACTCAAGATCTATTCATTAATTAGACCAAGTATACATAGGAACTAGTTAAGTTAATAAGACTCACGTACACTACTTAGATGGACACCTCTATTGAAATTAATTTGAAATATAAGTGTGATGAATGAGAGCTCCTTGAGGATACCCCTATGGAAATAAATGTGAAATATAGCCGCTATCCACTACAAAAAATAACCGATTTTGTGACAAAAAAAATGTTGTCACAAAATTGAGATTTTGTTACAAAAAATAATTTAGCGACAACAAGATGTTTGTCGCGCTATATGAATCAAGAAATGTAGTTTTCGACAACTTTCGGCCATTTATCGCATAAACAAAATTGCAACACCATTTGTTTGACGTAGAAAATATGAAATAGCAAGACAATATTTGTAGCCACAATGTTGTTGCAATGTATATATGTCTCGAAAAATTTAAAGGGCGACAAATCAGTTTGTTGCAAATGTTGAGCCACGAAATGTAATCTACAACAACTTTTGGACATTCATCGCATTAACAAAATTGTAACACTATTTGTTGATATAATTTTTGTTATAGGATTTTCAATTAACTTGGTTCGTAATAATCTCAAAATTAGTAAGATGATCACAATAATCCAAACCCACATCCCCAAAGTAAGCATAAGTCCAACCAATTCTTATCATAGATCAATAATTATTAGATGCAATATAGTTAAAGCATGGTAATTAATCTACACAAAATATTCCATGCCTTCCACGTAATTGGTTGTTACGTACTAACTTCGTCACAATGCCTTTTTAATTGAAAATCAAATTGAAGGGTTTTCTTTAATTTCAACTCAAATTGATATTCGAGAGAATCGACAATAGTCAATCTAGTGTTTGTAACGCCCCGACCTGCATGGATCGAAACGTCACTAGATTAACTTTACTTTACCCGTAGACTTAATAAAATAATTAGCTATATTTTTAGTGGAAAGCATAAAAATTTAACTTAAGAATTTAATTCGAGAATTATTTAATTCTAAATAACATCATTTCGTATTAAGGGATTATCTAATAATATCTTAGAAATAAAGTCATATCATTGTCGTGAAATTCTAGGGGAAAAAATGAAAAATAAACGTCGCTGCTTTTGTTTTCTATCTCAGTGGCAATTTCAAAAATAAATTCGTTTACATAGTTATCGACCTCGAAACTTCATGAAATTTTATATTAAAGTAGTAAATTCTCTATATTATGACATATCCAAAAATCAGCTTCCGTTGGCAACATATAAGATATTAAAATATTTTGCAAAACTCCGCAGGGACTTGGTTTAAAAGGTAACCCAGCGTAGTATACTTAAAATGACATATAAAATTCTGTAGACATCGTATCGACATGATTTTTGACTTTATTCAGCAGAAAATCCATGAGGCTATCAAATTCCAGTGGCTTTTGTCCAAAAATTCTAAGTACGATTGAGTCACGAATTTTTAAAGTCAAGGCCAGAAGCTGAAAACAACAACGCTACCCAGTGCAGTTTACTTTAAGGAACATATAAAATTCTACTGACATCAGATTGAGATGATTCCAAGTTTATTCAGTAGCTAACCTATGAGGCTATCAAACACCACTGAGTTTGTTGAAAAATTCCAAGTAATGATTGAGTTATGAATTTTTACATTTCAGGACAGAAGCTGAAAATTTAGAAAAACAGCAACATTAAATCGCTAACACTTTCTTTTGTGGTAAAAGGTAACTTGTAAGTTAATTTCTATAACACATAACTACTTTTAAATATAACTTATTCATAAAAATCTTCTTAGAATAGTTCCACATATGATGTTCATAGAAATCAAATAAAGAAAAACATAAATATGATGTTCATAGAAATCAAATAAAGAAAAACATAAATGTTGCATAATAGAATTAAAAATGTTAAGTCACCGGCATCTCCATAGCATGTTACATAATCATCTACCATCATCCACGCACCAAGCGTATCAAGTCAACAGGGAATTAACCCATGAGTTTGAAACTCAATAGATATCATCGGTGCATTTCGTTATCAAATTAGAACTTTCGAAATGTAGATTCATACCATCGCACATAGAGGGATTTCCAACAAAATCCGATTTCTATAGCATTATCATAACACGTAGAATCGGAGAATGATCATTCAAACTATAGTAGTGCCGAAGCACCGTACCCGGAGGTACCACAATTCATTCAAACGTTTAATGAAAAATCATAATTTAAAAACGAAATATACACTTGCACCTCTACCTACCTTAATTTGAAACTTTGAAATGGATGAATTTGGACGGTGAATTGTTTCCCAACGGCACCTGAAACNTTTAACTAGGAATATAAAGAGTTTTAAGCCCATAAAAAAATAATTCTTATAAAAAGTTTTATAAAAAAATTACATAATAAAAAAATTAAAAAAAATTAACTATTCATATGATTGTAACTTATCTCTATGAATGCTCACTAATAAAACAATTATTACATCCAATTAATTTGGTATAATTTTTCTTAATGTGCAACAATAAGGAGTTTATTATTTTTTTTCAAAAATAATTTTATAAAAACATCTGCATGGTGATTCGAACTTGGGTTGCCTATATAAAATACCATCCAGATGACCATTGTGGCAACTCAATTATTCATTAAATCCATGTTGATGACATTGTATTTGGGTCCACCTCTGAAACAAAATCTAGGGTGTTTATCAATTTTATGCAAAGCGAATTTGAAATGAGTATGGTTGGCGAACTAAACTATTTCCTGGGTTTGCTAGTTATACAAGTAGTTACTAGAATCTTTATCTTTCTGGTAAAGTATGCGAAGAACCTTGTCAATAAATTTGGTCTTGAAAGTCCAAGTCAGTTAGGACTCCCATAGCGACATCTTTGAAACTTAGTAGAGATGACTAGAGCAATGGCGTTGATCCAAGTCTATACAACCTGACTAAAAGTCGTCCTGATATTGCATTCTGTGTAGGAGTCCGTGCTCGATATCAAGCTAAGCCAAAGGAGTCTCACTTGTAACTATTAAACAAATCATAAGATACGTTAATAGTACTTCAAATTTTGGTTTATGGTTAAACTCTAATTCACAACTTTTAGGATATAAAAACGCTGTTTGGATAGGAAACATTCATGACATAAAATTACATCTGAAGGATGCTTTTACATAGGGAACAATTTTATCTCTTGGCTAAGCAAGAAACAAAATTCTATCTCCTTATCTATGGCAAAAGCTGAGAACATTATCATCGATAGCTGCTGCACACAATTGCTTAGGATGAAGAAAATGCTGAGAGACTCTGGTATTGAACAAGACTCCTTTACTATGTTCGGCGACTACACAAATGCGATAAATATCTCTAGAAATCCTGTTCAACACTCTAGAA